TGTCGTCCTCAACGGGGCATATAAACATCATCATAATATCCTTATATTAAATAAATGATTATATCTACCCTGCTCCAACGTGCATAAGTTGTACGGCATATTAATAAGGAAACGGCAAAAGTCGAATTTATCATTTGAGACCATTATTGAATGTGAATTTAATTCCATTTCCACGTTCCATCTTGATAAGTAAACATCAGGTTTCCCCAAGCTTGCTAGAGCAGTTTGTACGGGTTTTCAATTTTGCAAATTCAAATTTGGTTTTATTGAAATAGTAAATACTTAGCCCACCTCAGAATTGAATATTTGGCAAACGAAGTCGATTTGATATTTACGTATTGTGTACACACCCACTACCATTGAAGTTCATCAATAGAACTTCGTAAATATGAGACAGGTTGGTCGTGTTTGCAATTTTTATGTTATTATTGAGGAAGATGAGTTTAAAAACGGAAGCTTAATAACATCGTATTACATTCTTGATATAAATTACATTGTATCTTTTGTTGACTTAGTCTTTATCGAGGCACGTTGCGGACTTATATTAAATTGCTTATATAAATTTCTTATTAGAGAAACTCGAAATTTTGAAACTGAGTAATTTAGACATGTCACCGCTAGTTTAAATACTCACTTTCATATTATGAGACAAATTATTTGGCGGAAGTTCTCATTTAATATTATACTTAGATTTTAAGTAAAATGAAAAAAGAGAATTTTCCTGTCACAAGTAGATTCAACAAACATTTCCGCTCTATTTAGTTGACCAGAATGGTAATAAACTTTACGCGCTCTTGTTGGATGAGTTGCCAGATTCCCTATAATCAATTCCCCATATTTCAAAAAATTTGATGTGACTAGCATAGATACCACCAGCACATGCGAAATTTTGCTCTTTTATGTCTAGAATATGTGTACCAAATTTGGTTCCAATCGGTTCAGCCGGATATGAGAGTAGAGACAGACAGACCGATCGACATCATTCAATCACGTATGCTCAGCAAGAGTACCTTCACTACCGCCCCGTTAAAACCTCCCTCCCCGAAAGCAAAATACTCCCCTTTTAAACCCCAACCCAGAAGAGTGCATAGGGATAGACGCACAGGAAACCCACCCAACACATAAACAAAATAAGAAGAAACAAAATCGCTTGAGCATTATTCAGACACTTTTTACCGTAGAAGTCAATGCCGCCAGTCGATTGTTTCTTGTCCTTTTAGTAACTGCGCTGTAACTCAAAGTTGATTTTTTTATATAGAAATTATACTTGGCCATGGTTTAAAATTCCTTGTTTTACGAACTTTCCGAAAATGTATATGTCATACTTATTTTCAGTGATAAGTTTTCTACAATCAAATTTTGTTTATTAATTTTTTTTTTATTATCAATTGATTTTATTTAAATGTTATATAAAATATTTCGAACATTTAAAAAAAGTTTAAATTATTAATCCATATTGTCTGAAAGTAAACAAACAAAAAACACAGTCGCCTGTGAAAAACAGCTGTAGTTTGTTTTTTTTTTAAAAAGTTGAAACCCTACTTAACTTGAACTTCCAAAGGCGACTCATTTTTGATTTCCCGTTAGATTTGTCTGCACTCTTTTTGTAGGAAATTTAGAAGCAAACTACGAAGCTTCTTCACGGAGAATGGCAAGAGATATATTGTTGTTTCGATGACTAGAACATTAATATTAAAACGCAGAAATACAAATCAAATAGGTATTATAAGAACCAATATTTAAAACCCAAAGATTCATTGGTTTCTTAGGAAGGGAAATGAGGTCCAAAATTTTAGCGATGTCATTATTTGGAGTGATGAAGCACACATATCAAGTGCTGGAATTTTTAATAGACAAATAACTGCTATTGGAAAACCCCACCTAACTATATCAAAAGAGTAATTGTTAAGTATTCTTTGCTATATCTATACGAGTCCAAGGAAAATTTGGGTTTAATGTATGGTGACATAATTTAAAATATTATATTTTTAGAGGCACACTTACATCTAACAGATATATCCAAAGAGCACAATGGATTTGCTGGATAATATAAAATTAAAATGATCTCGTATCTAATAATTGGATGGGGATGCATTGGATTTCTTTTTGTGGGTTTTTTTGAAAAATGAAATTTATAAATATCCTTCTACAACGGAGGAAGAATTACGGGAAAATGTAGCAAGATCGCTTGAAGCAGTTTAACCAATACAAATTCTGAATGCAACAAGATAATCTGAGAGCTGGTAGACATTTTTGGGTAGATATTTGAGGCACGCTGAAAACTTGTCCAATACTTCTCCAATAATACCCAAACACAGAATTGCAGACTTGGCTCAAGAATAGCGGGGCTAAATCAACCCTTCTATTTTTAAAGATTTTTACACCCTTAAATTTAATATTTAAAGAGCGACAAAATCAATAAGCCAGATCATTTAGTGGGGCTTTACACTGGAGTTTTTAACTTTTAAATGTCCGATCAACACCAAGCACAGAAATACCTATACCTGAGACACCTGAAAGTGCAATTCCCGCCAGAGATAAAATGAAACTGGGTTGAAATTCTATTGGCTAATGGACATTGATCACCAAGAGCCAAAAAAAAGGTGTAGGTAGCACTAAATCAGCATTTTCTTGTTTGCGTTGAAAATGGTGCGAATGGGGTATTTTATTGGATGAATTACTTAAATCAATAAGCTTTCATAATTCATACAAAGATTTACCTTTCAGTTATAACACCAAATACGAATACCAAAGTCAATACGTTATATGGAGATTTTACGTGGAAAACCAACCGCGCTAATTTTATTAATTTCTAAACATTCCTTTTGCGGCGTATTGCGGTGAAAATTTGCCCAGCATCGTAATATACTTGCAGTTCCCAAGTGAATATCTCGACCGTGCCGAGCTAATTATATAAATTGGCAGGTAATTTAAAACAATTGCTGTTCTTGTGTATTTTCGCCTCTTTTGAAAGCTTAGCTCTTCTGCACCAAGTTTATAAACTGCTTGGCCGGTTTCCAACCGCCACCGATAATAATCGATTTTCTATTCGAAGCGCATTCTGCACTTTATCTTGCCTTTTTTGCACCATGCATCGCGTCTAGCTTTAAGATTTGCATTGTTACGAGTGCTGCTGCGGTCTGAATTGGAAATCGCCGAGCACTCTAAATGTGAAATGAGGCAATAACGATATTTCACAGTTCTGGATTTTGTGTATGCATATACGGAAGAGTACGATAAACATCGCCATTATTTTTATAAACAATTGTTTGCCGCTATCTTTTTGTTTACTGTTGATTGATTTAAATATGTAGAACATGAGGGTTAGAACTCAAGACTGGGTCCGCTGAACGCTGAAGGTATCATAATCTTGCCAAGTTTACCGTCAGCATTTGACCTGAAGGCTGAATGCAACATGTTTCTTTCTTTATATGTTATTAAATGTTTGAGATATTTTTTAACAGATTTGTGCGAGTTATTTTTAATGGAAGGGGGTTCTCGAGTATTCGTCAGAGATTCTTCGCAGATTTGCACACAATTTTTGCGGGTATTTCTTAGGAAATTTTTTCTGCAAAAATACAGTAAAATGTTTTTGTCCTAGAAGATTCTACATCTATTCTTTAAAGATTATTTAGAGCTGACCCAAAAGTTCAGAGTTTCTCTGAGATCCCTAAGAGATTTTCCATTATATATACTAAAATATTCATATCCTCTGAAGATCCTTTGAACATTTCCAGATGTCTTTCAAAAAAAGCTTCTGTGATTGTATGAGTTTTACAAATAATATACATTTTAGTCGCAAACGAGGGTTTTGTACAAAAGTTGTAGATATTAAACTGTTGAATTAAAAAACCTTGATTTTTTTAAATCCGGCTACAAATAATGGCGATAAAGGAAGTGGGAGTACAGATGGACCGACAGACAGACCGACATCATCGAGATTTTGTTTGATTCGGATTCCTGGTGCTTCAAAACGTGTATTTCCGTAAAAAAAGTTGGGAGTTATTGTTACCCCAATGCAATACCTCCCTACTAACGTGCGGGTGGTACAACTTAAAAAGAGCGCAAAATTTAAGATTTCTGTGGAAACCAACGTATTCAGATTGTCGGTTCTCTGCCTGATAAACTTCACTAGACCGTAGTATTACCACCATGACTAAACACGTCTAGTGGTAACTCTTACAAAACGACATTGGGAACGGAAAATAGTGTCGGAAATTAAACCATTCATATATTTCGAAATAATGCATTGCAGACCGACTGCATTTGAATACCGTTCAGAACAAAATGAGAATGATTATATTATATGGCAGCAGAAATTGCGGTAATATTAATCATCCACCGTTTCCTACCTCCCATCCGGGAATTTAATTCGGGTTTATAAATGCTTCCTAAGCGTACCTATAATTTCATATGTAGCCTTATTCATAATGCGCGCCCTAATCTTATGTTGTCAACACGAGGGGTAATTTACGACTGCATTCCTTAAGGGTTGACCTTATATATGAGCTGATCCCGATTGTCTTCGAACACATAATTACGTTTAGGGAATTGAGCGGATGTTTATACGCAAATTGGTCGTACGAAGATCCCTAGGGATCGGTTAAAATGATTAATGACGTAATTAGATTTCATTTCATTCCTATCCGCACTCGATCAATAAATCATCCTTATTATATAAGCTTTATTTATCCCATTTTTAAAAGTGGGAGTTCCGGAAGCTTTTTGACATATTACTTTTTAATGCGCTGTATTACCCACGGAAATTCTTTAATTAGGTACGTTTTAAATTTTAGTATCGTGTACTTCTTGTGTTTCGGCATGTGTTTTTGGGCATTACTTTACTCATGTAGACAGTTGCTCGATTTTGTTACATTAAAATCAGAATCGTAACGTGCTCCCTACATTTGTACATAACAATCGATACCTCGCGGCGCCTTTACATATGTGATGAACTGGACATGTATGAAACTATTAATTTGTGCCTTACAACTTTTCAGGGGAAATCCGTTTTGCGCGACTGAAAAATGGAGAAAGAAGGTGAAAATCCGCACAAAACATCGAGACTCTCTATTAAATCGCCCGTATCGAGTAAGTCGGTTGTATGAATTCAGTAGAGGGTAGAACTTTATCTTCTATTTACTCTGTAGAGGCAGCTTTCCTGTATACCAATTTAAAAATTCAGTAGCTTTGTAGACAGCACACGTAGTAAATATTGTAGATGAATTGCAAATCTGTGCCAAGGTTTTTTACCTACGTCACTTTTTAGCAATGACGTTTCGTACAATTTCTGCACCCTCATTAATAATGTACGACGTTATGTTGGTTGAGCGCTTGTACTAGGTGTGTTGAGCGTATACTTTGAACAACGGAAAGCTCGGAGAATTTTATGGCATGCTGAGCACATTTTGTAAATGCTAGTAGTAGTTGTATTGTGCGCTGTGAACATGAGTGCCCTTCATGTTGTTTCATCGCCTTAAAAGTTTGTACACACGTTTTGACTCATAAACCATTCCGTTTATACCCAGAAGTTAAATGAAATTACACTGAATAGGTTCTATTTACCATGACCAGTATAATAGCACGACTCGTTTTGATACAAAAACTATAAGCAAACTAACATTAAAATCGGAAATTGTCTGAATAATCGCAGTTATGCGAAAATAAAATTCTCACAAACAAATAATCCGTGAAAATCTAATCTCGTCTGCCGAAAACTCTCTTCACAACTCGGTCTCACTAACGTTTATTTCGAAAATGCACACTTTCTTATTGCTCTTATTCCGCGCATACTTTCGTTCAGGTTCGCTATGAAGCGGTATATGTGTAAATTTTTCTATGTTGAACAACATTCAAATTTGAAAATAAAACTTTTGACAACGGCTAAAGTTGAAAGTTTCATTTCCGAGGAAGCAACTGGTGTGGTAGTTGGAGGTATATGTGAGGGGATCTCAAGTAATTGCAAGGTATCTCCAAGGATATTATGTAATTTACGAGGACCTAAAAAGATTTCAAGGTATCTCCCTATGGAACACGACTAGGATACTGCGGAAGCGTAGAATTAAATTATTTATTGATCTGCGGAGCTAATTGTAAATTTACACATTTATATGGGAGTGCATAACACGGTAATTTAAATCCTGCTATACATATACATGAAATGTATTTAAAATAGAAAATATAAAATGCATTGCGGTAGCATTTAAATTACCGAATATGATTATTAAATTTTAAACTGCAGAATGAAAAACAGGTAAATAAAAATTCCAATATGAATTATTTTGCGATTTAATTATTTGCAATAGAATCTACAGCAGTGTTAATTATACACAGTTTTTCAAATGTATTATCCTTCATGCTGCGATTGAGTGAATATTCCTGCAAACATTTCAACTGGAGGTCGATGAGGAATTTGGGCGGTCATAATTTTAGAGTCTTCGAACACTCTAGAAGGCATTTAAAAGTTTCCGGTATAGTCGCCCACGGAAGATTCTCTTCCGAAAATTGCACCTCCAAAATATTCATATTGTCTTTTATGCGTCTTTTAATTTTTATAGAGCATTGTTTTCATAATAGGTCGGATGTCGCAGTCACTATTAGTAGGTGATCTTAATTGGCTCCAAACCACTGAAGAATCGTGAGGTCATTCGATGAGCAATACGGAATCGGGGTAGTTGAGAAGTACGTGGGAAATTGATTCAGTACTTTAAATTTTATTTAATTGGTACCAAGTAAAGACGGGCCGTGTTTTATAGATAAGAAGCCATTGTATGGGCGGTGCTTATTGAGGCAGGGATATGAAAAATTGGAAAATTATCAAGCTAAGTACTTGATTTGAATCACTACAATAAAGTACAATAAAGTCTCACATTTATTGAAGCGGTGTGAGTGATTAAATATGTCTAATCGAAGGGTACATCATGTACTCTCACTTTATTTTAAAAAGTGATTAAATATAAAACCCCTCCATATTTGGCGGAACGCTTAACATACCGCACAGATGTATATAATCTGAATGTAAGAAAAAAGTTTTATCTTAGGCCTCCTAGGCACATAACGTCACTGTTTGAGAGGTCTTTTTCTTATAATGTTTGTAAGTTATGGAATTCTTCACCAGATAACATCAAGAACATCTCCTCCTTACCTCTTTTCAAATCTGCTAGTAAACAGTACCTACTACAATCTCAATAAGCCACATTAACTATCACTATCTCGCATCAATTGTTAGCAATCTGGACGTTTCGTGAACCATCCTATTTATATCGTAGATTTTATTTCTTTCCTCTTTCTTTCTTCTATCTATATTGTAAATTTTATTTTCTTCCTTCCCGTTGCTGATTTTGGTCCAAGTGGAAGACCAGGAGCGGCGCTTGTGCCTGTCCCTGAACTTGCACCTATTGTCACTCATAAATGTATCAACAAAGAAATGTTTTTTATTTGCTGTTTGTTCGGTTGACAATAAAGACATTTATTATTATTATTATTATTCTCAATAAAAAATTAATAAGGGGACTTTTTACAAAGGGAGCATATCCAAGCGAAACGTCCTCGGTTTATTTGAAAAACACGTTTGTTTCCGTTCCCTTTGCCAACACTCAAAGTAATATAACACTATGTGGGTAGATTTTGAAATTCCTGGTTCAATATACCTGACTGTAAACAACGTGATTCCAAGCATCTAATTAGAAAGTTTCTTTGTATAGTAAAGAGTGGTCACTTTGAAATTATACTGAATACATAACATTAATAACTAATTAAATTTAATAATTAAAGTCACAGTGGAACGTCTTTCATTGCTTAGTGATTCTTGACGGGAGTAGCACAATAATGAGAAAACTTGGTATAAAACAAGTGCTGAAGGCTGACAGACTGAAATCTAAATATAATTTACTTGAGACAATGGTTTGGAATACATCTCTATTGAAAGTATTGGTCTAATTCTTTAAACATTACAAGTAAAAATGTACTTTTTCCCGTAATTTATGCAGTTATTGATCACATTAGAATTGATAAAAAGACATGTAATTATAATGGTAATGTGGTAACATTAATTAAACGGATAACTTTTCTAATAGACAACTTCAGAATACAAAAGTGAGAAAAGAAGTGGGGAATTTTTCAAACTTAGTAACTTTTCCTTTGAGAGCGAAAGTTGGTAAATTACAAACACGAAGGAAATTATTTTAATAAACCTTTGAACTGAATTATATGTAGGCTGTATTTCTTAATAAAGTTTGGAAACGTTACACATATACCAAATTAAAAAAGGTTCAAAGGCGAAATTGATGTTGAAGGCAGCGGTGTCATCGCCTCGTTTGAACATTTCATCAAATTGAGATTTTTTCCTTGCTCCATAAAATGTAACAAATGTCATAAGTTTAAAATTTGAGGAAACGCAATTTAGACTGTTAGACCTTACTAAATTTGAGAACGTTTTGCGATTTTTTACGGTAATGCTTTCATTTGTAACCAAATCTTTTGTATGTCATTCTGGGGATTCATAACAGTGTTCTTCCATGACAGTATAAAATAACGAAAGCTTTGTGTTGAGTAGGTATACTATTTCAATGTAATTTCTGTTCGTCTAATCATCAGGATAAATAGCAGCACAAGGAAGTAAACCACGGTATATAATGTAGCCTGTATTATACTAACATTATAACATTTTTTTCTGGATATCTCTGTAAGTGGGGAGTTTTTGAACCTTAAATCCTGGAAATGGAGATAAGGAAAAAAGAATCCGGTGTTAAAAGTCTAAATTAAAGGTGTTTTACAGTGTCGCTTTTTTTATAGGAAGCGGTTCATTCTGAAATCAAATAGTGTTTAAAATCTGTTTCGCACTGTACATTACGGTCAAACAACTTAAGTATGATGTACAAAGTTTAATTAATTATGTTTGTTTAAAATTCCACATAGACGTTTATTAACGCATTTCGCGTACAATTTTGGTTAAATTAGAACAAAGTTGCCAAAATTCACAAGTAATAATATTCACAGACTAAGACTAAGTGAATAAAAATTGTTAAAGATATTAATAGTGAACTTGTCCTTTAGTTGGCATAGATAGATATAAAATTAAACTCGCAAAAAAAGCAAAGGAATGGGATCTGGTAAATTATACATGCTATACAAAGCAAATGAGAAACCTGAAGGAATAAATATAGAGTGGAGTGTGGTTCGAAGACTTTCTTAGAATGGTTATGATACCGTTTCAGACAAAGAAGAGAATAAAGAAATGCGAGGAATACAGAACTATTAGTGTGATAGCTCATACTGCTAAGATTTTGATGCGGTTGTTGGAAGGAGGTTGAGGAGGACAATGGAGGGAGCAGTGGAGGAAGAACTCAGTTGGAGTCCGTAGGGGTTTGGAAGCCAGGGATGCAATAGCAGTAGTAAAAACGATTGGAGAAAGATATAGAACGAGGAAGAACTGTAAGTCTGTGCCCAGTAGATTTAGAAAAGGCATTCGATTGTGTGAAATACGAAAAACTGTTTCATTTTAAGGGACAAGGGTGTGGAGAGAAAGAAGAATGATCAACAACTTGTACACGAAGCAGGCGATGGAGATAACTGAATGGTTTGGAATAGGAAAAGGAGATAGGCAGGGATGTTGTCTATCACTAATCTTATTTAATATCTACATAGATGAAGTGCTGAGAAAAGAATAGGGGAGTAAAAATAGGTGCCAGAAATGTAAGGTCAGTCAGGTTTGGTGATGATGATCATATTTGCTGAAAACCCGCGGAAATTGAATAAAATGTTGAAACGACTAGAACAAGAGAAATTGGAAGAAGTAAGTACTTAGGCGTATATGAGAAAGAGAGTGGTGTAAAAGTCAAAATGTTAATTGCCATTTTGAACTAACAGTTGACTAAATTCTGAGAAAGACTGCTTAACCAGGCATATGCCAAAGTATCAAGTAACAATAAGGTTAAGCAGTAGGAATTGTTGAAGGATGTATTTGACACATAAAATAATTATTCTGTTAGTCATTTTTGAAGAATTGTATTCTTTTTACCCGAGGAATAAATACACCTTTTAATATTGTGGTTTTGGAATAGAAAGAATTTCAATACTTAACAGTAACATGG